CATATAAACAAGTAAGAACTTTGTTTAAATTCTAATTAAACCAAGGAAATGAAATAAGTTTATTCACTATATTAATAATTGAAAGAATTTAAGGAAAGAGATAATTTGGATCCTATTAATATAACATAATCCTTATAAACGAGAAACTAAATCAACAAAATTATTCTTAGCTCAATGAAATATATATTTACTAAAATACAAGTAAGAATTAATTCAAATATAATTAAGGCAACTATATAATCAATTGACAAATTATAAATAAAATAATGGAAAAATGCACAAGTACCCTTCAATCTATGACCGAAATTTCAGAGATATACTTATACAATAGTAAGGTCCTATTACCCCTGAACTTATTTTATAAGTAATTTTCAACCCCTTTTTGACTTACGTGTCACTAACTTGAAAAAAAGTCAACCACGCTGGGTTCACAGGATAGTATCACGTATACCGAAAAAGAGTAAAAAATTATTAATAAAATAAGTTCAGGGATTAATATGACCTTAGTATAGTATAAGTGTGTATCTAAAATTTCGGTGATAAGTTTAAGAATACTTGTTCATTATCAAAATTTATCTTATCAAGCAATAAAATCTGTCTGAATCACTTTGGTGTCAAATTAATCAATGCCATATAAAATTAGCACAATGAAATTACCATTTAGAAAAGAAGAAAATCAAGGTGACAAGATTAGGTGAATAACTCAAATTATGTTCGAATCTTACCGAACTCAATTAATGGACAAGCAATACATATTTATTACGGAAAAGGGCCTAAAATACCCTTGAAGTATTGAAAATGGTACACAATTACCCCCCCCCCCCATCCACCTATTAGCCCCCAAATACCCTTCACATCCACCTTTGGGTCCAAACTTACCCTTTCATTAACGGACCAAAATTAAAAAAAATTATAATTTTTAATTACGTGGCACTCAACCATTGGTTGTAATTTAATTATTTAAAATAATTTAAAACCCACCCATTACCCACCCATTTTAACTAAACCCGCCCCACTTATCCAATTTTAAAAAAACCATCTAACTAAAAAACCCTAAAACCTTAACCTCCAATTTTCACAAACCCACGCTACTTCATTGTCTTCTTCTTCTTCTTCATGAAGAAAATGTCAGCTTCTTCTTACGATTTTTTCCCCTGAAGAACTTCAATCTCGTACATATAAGTGTGGATTTTTGGCAAGATATTATACTGCTACAACTATTGAAAATGGTGGGCGTCGATTCTACAGATGTGGTCGTGTTGGGTCAAATTCTTGTGGTTATTGGAATTGAATTGATGACAAACTTCCACGTCATGTGTCAACCATGATTCATAATAAAAAAGTTGAATTGGATTCAATTCGGAAAGAAAAAAAATCATTTGAAGAAGATTATGGAGGATATGGGTGGCATTGGAGATTCTTATTTGAAGGATATGACTGCCGATGAAATGTCTGAGTTGAACGATATGAACGAAAATGAAATTTCTGATTTGACGAAAGTTTCTGCCTTGAAGGGAAAAATGTCAAATTTGGAGTTGATGGATAAAATTGAGAGTTCAAAGATGAAGAAAGTATCTAGCTTGGATGAAAAAGTTTCGAAGTTAGAGTTGAAAGTTCATAAATTGATAAGTTTGCTTGCAGTTTCTTGGGCTATTATTCTTGGTTTTGCAGCTGCCAAGATGATTTAGTGTAGTGCAATTGTTTGTGTTAAGTTAGTGAGCTGCATTTTATTTTGATTATTTGTGAAGATGATGTTGGTTGTTGTTGTGTCTACTAATGAAGAATTATGCAATATTGTTATTACTAATGATACATTGGTGTGTGCATTTTCTGGAAAAGCTACATTTGTTTTGATTGTTATGTCTACTACTTCATTGTTAATTTCTCATCAATTTGGCAGTAATTCAGTGATTGTTGCTTCCTCTGTTCAAAGGTTAAAGATATGAATTTCACTATAAACTTGTGACTTTCACTATAAGCTGCTAATAACCCAAACTAGAAGAAGATAAAAAAGAGTACAAGAAAACCTACTAGCTAATACTTCCAATGTGTTTTCTTCTGTAAATATGAGTAAGATTTAGAAATGATTTTTCCTCTTATGGGTTGTGCTAATCAGAGGCTAAATTCTTTTGCCTTGCTCTAATTTTTTGCTTTCAATCCCACACGAAAATTGTGAGAAATCACAGATTGGTTTACACTCTTTTTATGATGGTAGAACCACATAACCAACACCAAGAGTAATGGAGCAATCAGCAGCTCAAACATAGCGACATAAAACATTTGTTGACTATCACTACCATCTATTTCAGGGTTAATGACACAGCCTAATGATACCTAATTAAATAAGGACTCTATCTGCTGGAAATCTATCAAAATGCGGCTGGATCGATGGACCACGCGACGGATCGTCGCGGTCACGACGGACCGTCATAGATTCCGTCGTCCCATACTTGTGCAATTTCTTCTGCTGCTCTCCTTATTACCCTCGACGGTAGGTATGACAGATCGTCACAGGCACAACGGTTCGTCAAGGGTCTCCGTTCCAAAACACTTGAACTCTTGGAATTTGAGTACTGGGAATACTTCTCTGATCTTCATGACGAACAAGCAGGACGGACCATCACGGCTACGACAGTCCGTCACACACGGAAAATTTCTTCTGCTGCTCTCTTCATTACCCTCGGCGGCAGGTAGACGGATCGTCACAGGCACAACGGTCCGTCGAGGGTCTCCCTTCCAAAAGACTTAAACTCCTGGAATTTGGGTACTGGACTACTTCTCTAATCTTCATGACGAACCAGCAGGACGGACCGTCATGGATACGACGGTCCGTCATGCACCCTATAACCCAACACCAGAATTTTTCATCTTCCTTCAGCAGCTGCACTACGATGCCACCTACGAACCGTCACGAACACGACGAACCATCACAATCTCCGTAGGTTGTACTTTTCTATATTTCTTGCTCAAAAACCTCTGCATCTTCAGCTCCACTGACTCAACTATAGTTAAGGATGTTAGAAACACTAACAACTCAAGTATTGAAGAAGCCAAAAAAAGAGTAATAGTGCTTCCTTTCCAGCCACTGTCCTTTGCATTCAATCACAAAGTTTCAACAGTTCCACAAACCACAAAGTTTCAACAGTTCCACAAAACCACCAAATAATAGAATACATTCATACAATTTTCAAGTCACAAAATATTTTCAGCCCACAAAACATTATCAATCTAATATGTAATGCTTGCCCCTCCAAAAATAGCAGTTTAAGAAGTTCCATTGTGCCATTACATACTAAACAAAAACTTTAAATCAATACTTAGCAACTACTTTCTAATGCTTGTCCCTCTTTGCCTTAAGCTTGCCAACCTTTTTTTCCTTGTCTTTTTTCAACTGACTTGAGGTCATACATGCTTTGCCTTTCCAAGTTAGCTTTTTTGGTGAGTATGGTAAATTAGTAGGGACAACAACATCATTTTCATCACCCTTAAAACTAATCATTCTTGAACCAATTGGTTGTTGTAGCATCTTCTTTATTTGAAGTCTAGTTTTTTCTTCAAATATCACTCTAGGTGCAAGGACTGTATCCTCATCCTCATATTCAATACCGTCTTCAACTTCATCCTAATCAACAATTGCAATCAAAGGTGCAATAACTTTTTCTTTTCCATCGTTTTTAGACCTCTTTGGTAGTGCATCAACTTTGTCCTTTGAAGCATTTTTTCTCTTTGATTTTGACAGACCGGCAGCTTCATTGAATTCTTCACTTGATTGATGGCTAGTTTGTCGACTAGAAGATGCAACAAATTCAAGAGTTGGCATCAAGATTGGTTCATCTGGGAGAACTTGTCTTCCTTCTTGAAGCTGTAAAATTTGTCAAAGTGTAAGATAAATAATTATACATTGGAAGTAATTAAAAATTGATAAAACATGACTTACTAGGGGACATCTTCTTCGATTATGACCTATAGCACTGCAATTTCCACATGTCATTTGCAATCCTTTTCAACTTTTCGACCATAATCCTTCCCTTTTTCTTGCCTGATCTTTTTCACTTACTCTCTTTAATTTTTGTCTACCAACCAATTTATGAATGTGTTGGTTGCATAGCTTGAGAAAGATCAACTTTCCAGAATTTCTCACCTCTAACAGGTTGAATTTTAGGCTGGTATACAAGCAAGTAAGCTTCTTTAGAATACCACCAATACATCTCATTCAGTGGCTCTATTTTATCATGTTCTAATGCTTTAATAGTATGAGGACATGGTATTCCTGTCAAATCCCATGTCCTACAAGTACACTTCTTTCTAGCAAGATTCACAACTTGTCTATCTATACCCTCAATCG